TTGTGAACTTGCTTCTTTCATCAATCTGGTTTATAAACTTCAGAAAATCTTTCTGTTTTTCTCTTCCATGTGATCAAAGTTCTAAGTAGTTATCAAGGTACCAGATAAGCACTTTTGATTGCGGCAGTGACGTCTTAAAATTCTCTTCTAATTTGTTCATGTATGCATTTGCAAATAAAGATGAGAGCAGTTATCTTATTAGAAGTCCAAATAGCTGCCCATAGATGTTTCTGTCGAATGTGAAGTAAGTAGTTCTAATTGTCAAGTTGATTAATTGTGTGAACGACTTACCCCTGATCCTCTCTGCTTCCAGGATATACTCATCTCGGTACAGAACCTCCAGTAGGGCTATTAGTGCCTTTTCTCCGGATGTTTGTGTGCATAGATTGTACATCAAAATGTACCAATAATTTACTTTCTTCCAGTGTCATATTTTTGAACCATTGCGAAAATTAATGAATGCCTCACTGTGTTTGATAATCTGTCGTTTAATTTCTTCAGTTTCAAACAAATTAGCTTTGCAAATTTGCGTGCTGCCACATACTTTTTGTTGACTATCAGTCTTAGTGGTTCCTCTTCTTTGTGTTGCTTCGGTAATCCCTAGGCTAATGGTGGCCATGCATCCTTTTTGATAAGTAAATTTATTGTCCATCCATCTATCCTCCCGTTCCTCTGCATACCTTTCAGCATCTCACGTAAGGTTCCATTTATCTTCATAAATGGGTCCTTTTTCAGTATATGATACTTATTTCCATCTCGCAATATACATTTCACCTCTTCGGTATATTGTTTTATGTCCATTATCACTTTCACTCCTCTTTTGTCCGCTTGAAGGACTAATTGTTCATAGCACATATTAATATGCTCCATATCAGAAGGAGCACATTACATTGTAAGAGACTATAGAAATAACTCAATCTGCTACTCGTGAGTATTGCAAATGGCATGCAGACAAGGTGTGATAACTTCCCAATCTGATGAAGATAGTCTTTCAAAATGGTCTCATATTAGTGTTGGTGTACTCTCTGCCTTAGGAACCTCGAAAACAAGATAAGGCCAACATTATATAGCTATAGGACATTGTGACCAAGTCTAGAGACCCACCATTTTATTACTATTTTTCTTACGTCTGAAAATGTAATTTTTCTAACAAATACTTTTTATATGCCAATTTGGTTACATACAGTTGGAAGAGACAAAAACGGCCAAGGAGACATATAAAACATGGTTATAAATCAAAAGAAACACTTTCTCCTGAGGACTAAGGCTTGAATAACAGAGATGATTAGTTGAGTGATTCGATGATATATTTCCGACTCTGTAGGTGGAATAAGTATATCAACTGCTAAGGCTAGCTAAAGCATCTATTTTGGCTGTAGAATTAGCTTGCTTGTATTTGTGGTTAAAAAGTGACGAAAGCTGACGCTTTGTGACAAATGGAAGTGACCTTTGGCAGCTATGCTTAAAAATAGGCATTCTACTTTAAGTGGGATGAATAGCGGTAGGAAATCAAACACTTAAAACATAGGGTAGTGAAGTAGCATAGATGTTACTCCAAAATGCATAGGAAGCAATCTCAGAGAAAACTGCTCTAAGCACACCATTCGAGCGTTTTTGAGAAAGTAAACTTGATAAAAATGATAAATATTTGGTGATGCACTAAGAATCGATCGCCATTAAGAGTACCGACATCCGCCCAACATGTGCTTAAATATGAAGTCAAACCAGTGAGTTGATTTTCGCAATTCCTTCCAAAGTTAGCTAAATAAATGAGAATACGAGCCATCATCTGATTTTGCTAGTCTAACAGTGGAAAGCAAAAGAGTTTTGATTTGTATACTGATATGCCCAATGCGACGAAAGAGCCCGAATGTAAGGAATGATCGAAGGCTGCAAAAGGACATTTTGGCACTCCAATTATGCCGTGGTACCTAAAAATTATAGTTCAAATTTTACTAACTCATGACAAATTACGTCAATATCCAAAGTAAAAAAACCACAGTGATAGCTGCATTGAAGCCATATTAGTAAAATCGAGTGGTAGAATAATTACACATATATAATAACATTAAGGTGTGTACAGAAAGCAATATAATGGGCCAGTGGTTCCCAAACTTTTTCTAGTCGCGGCACCCTTTTTCAATTAAATTTTTCCATGGCGCCCTACCCTAAGTATGACTATTTGTAAGTAAAAGATAAAAATAAATAAAACTTG